CGGTCTCGGTCGGCTCCACGTCGATCGGTGGGAAGCTGCGGTCCGGTTCAGTGGCACGGCCTGGTCAGGATCTGTCGATCGGTGGGACCATGCGCAGTCTCCCCCCCCCGTGTGTGTCTGTCCTTCGCCGTCGTTTTCGATCTTCCCACGAGAACATTTCTTCGTTCGGTCCTCCTCTCCACCCCCCGCGCGCCCCGTCCAAGGCGCTTGCTTTCCCCCGGCCGTCCACAGTGGCTCCCCCGACCCGTCCCCCTTCTTCCCCAACGGCGGGCCTTCCTCTTCGGCCAGCAGCTCGTCTCCCGACTTCTCGGCGCCTGCGCCGCTGGCGGGCACCCATCGTCTTTCCCGACAGAGACACAAGGCCACCGAACAAATCTTCCCCGTCGAAGCCCGAAGGGCATGCACGTGTTCCTCGGGTTCGGCTCAGAAGTCCCATAAGCGGCGCCGCGACCTCTCACCGCACGCCGTACTTCACAGGGGTATACCAGTTGCACAGGTCGCTTCAGCACTTGTGCACCCGGCAAGGCAACGGAGCATGAACGTACGACTCCGTCCCTCCCGTGAAAAAGCTGTTGGACACGTCCTGTCCGCCACAAATGTCGTGGTGTCTTTTCCTCTTCTATGAGCACTAAGTCTCCAGCCTGTATTCTACTCAACTGACGGTTAGGCGACTCGTGCGCGCACCACAATTGAAGAAGATACTCGCGGCGCCATCTAGTCCAGAAGTGATCTAGCTGCCTCTGATGGTGCTTCCAAAGACGAGTGAGGTCGTTGCTGGTGTCGATTTCTGTGTCTGGTTCGCATGATGTTGGAAGCTACGTCAGGCGCTTTCCGGTCAGAAAATGTGCGGGAGTTAGCACTTCCTGCTCACCTGAAGAGGCATGCAGAAACGTCAGTGGTCTAGAGTTAACAATGGCTTCCACCTCATGGAGAATAGTGGTGAGTTTCTCGAAGTTGTAGCGATCTTTTCCCAAAACTTTCCGGAGGCAGGTCTTCACCGTTCGCACCATCCGCTCCCAAAATCCTCCCCACCATGCCGCTCGTTCCACGATAAATTTCCATATTATCCGATGCTTCGAGTAGCGCTCCTGGACACTTTTGTCTCGGATTGCATTCCATAAGTTGCAGAGCTCTCTCGATGCCTTCTTAAACGTTAGGGCATTGTCTGTGTAAACAATCCTGGGCAGTGCCCGTCGTGATGTAAATCGTTGAAATGCCATGATAAAAGCCGCAGCCGATAGATTTGAGACAAGTTCAAGGTGAACTGCTCTCGTAACCGCACAGGTGAACAGTGCGATGTAAGCCGTCTCGTCGGACGGCTGGGACTTCACAAACAGCGGTCCGGCAAAATCTATCCCAACCACTTCAAATGGAGCGGCTTCAGTGGTGCTGTGGGAGCAGAGGTCCTCTTTGCTCTCAGTCTAGCGCAGCCATTACACCTGTGTATGATCTTCTTTGCGATCTGTCGTCCTCTCGGCACCCAAAATCGCTCTCGCAGTTGTGCTGTGGTGTCCTGGATACCTCCGTGGAGAGTTCGTAGATGACAGTCGTCCACAATCAGCTCTGTAAAAGGATGCTCAGGAGGAAGTAGGAGTGGGTGTTTCACTCTCACCGTTTCGTCAGCGTTCTGGAGTCGTCCACCAACCCTCAAAAGTCCGGTAGAGTCGACGAAGGGGCTTAGTGAGTGTATAGTAGATTTTTCAGCGTTTTCTTTGTTGTCAGAAATATCTTTCATTTCTTGTGAGTAAGCCTCCATTTGGGTTCGGGAGATCCAATAAGCCTCTGCTCGCTCGAGCTCCTCCGTTTTCAAAGGGCCGTGATGTTGGTTCTGTTTCCTACAATTCTTGGCGAACCTCATCACCCAGGCAGTGATGCGAAGAATGCGTCCAAGTTTGCTGTAGTCTTTTAACGCCAGGAGGGGCGGCTCGCGTTCTGTAGTCGTTTGGAGCGCATGATGCACATGTCGCCTTTCGTCTTCAATAGCCGCATCCGGGACAGTCTCAGTGGTAGGCACACCGGGCCAAGTGTTTTCATTCATTGAAAGCCATGTTGGGCCTTTCCACCATACTTGACTTGTCAACAAGTCTTCTGCGGTTATTCCCCGTGTTATTAAATCCTCTGGATTATCCACTCCAGGGCAGTGTTTCCAGCTTGAAGGTGTCCCTTTAGCTTGAATCTCGGCCACCCTGTTTGCAACAAAGGGCTTCCATTTGTTTGCATTCCCCTTTATCCAATGGAGAACGATAGTACTATCTGTCCAATATAACGTGTCCTGACAGCTCAGGATGTCTTCGAGGTAATGCCCCATTCGTCTCCCGACCACTGATGCCATCAGTTCAAGTTGAGAAAGTGTTAGCCGTTTTATCGGTGTCACACGTGACTTTGAGAGTACCAGATTTGCATCTACTTTCCCATCTCTGTCCTTGACTCTCAAGTAATCACAAGTTCCGTAAGCCAGCGGGGTTGCGTCACAAAAGATGTGTAGCTGTAGTAAGTGTATGCATTTGCTTGGAGCCTTTATAATACAGCGACCTGTCACTACGTCTTGTATACGCTGTAGTTCAGAGCACCAACCTTGCCATTGTGACTCCAAATCGTCTGGTAGATAATCGTCCCAGTCAAGGCCCCTTTCCCAAATGCGTTGGAATAGTATCTTCACTCTCATTACGTATGGAGCGATAATCCCCAACGGGTCGAACACTCTGGCTGCTGCTTGCAGAACGTGACGTTTGGTTTTCTCGTTCGACGTGACGAAGTTCAAGATGTTAGTGACGGGAATCATCAGATCCTCGCGTCTCCATCGTAGCCCAAGAACCGTCTTAGGTTCGGCGAACAGTGTATCTGAACCTTCCTCTAACAGGTTTTGCAATTCTCTTGAATTGGTCGACCACTTCCGGAGCGTCATTCCTGCATCCTCCGAAATTAGTTTGCTTGGTCATGTATGCTAGCTGCCTCTTCGGTAGACTGGGCCCCGACCAACAAATCATCGACGTAGAATGATTCTTGGAGGAGCTGAGCTGTGCTCTTCCACTTCCTTCACGTTTCGCGGGTGATGGACCAGCGTCGCAGTAAGAAGGAATGGGCTAGCGGATGTTCCGAAAGGAACGCGCGTCATTCTCCATTCTTCGATTTTCGGAGCTGTTTTTAATGAGCTCACCTCGTTCTCAAACCAAAGGAAGCGTAGTGCATCTCTGTCTTCAGGTCGTACACTGATCTGCAAAAACGCCTTCTCCATATCCGATGTAACGGCGATTGGATGCAGACGGAAGCGTATCAAGGTCTTGACAAGATCAGCGTTCATCTTAGGTCCTTTCTCAAGGTGTTCGTTAAGGGAAGTAACCCCTGTCTCATGCGAAGACGCGTCAAAGACTACACGTAGTTTTGTGGTCTCCGATTCGCTTCGAACCACTGCTTGGTGAGGCATGTAGTATAAACGCTTACATGGAGACTCGATATCTGATGATCTTGTGGGTACCTTCTCCGCGTGTCCGGCGGTGATGTAGTTTCTGGACTGTGTCATAGTCCTTCGCAAGAAGCTCGTTCCGCAAAAGTCTTCTTTTCAGTCCTTCCAGTCGTTTGACAGCCCATCACTCGGTTGTCCTTCAACTCCCCTGTGTTTGGCCTCCAAGGCAGGCATACTTCGTAACCGTCCTTCTGACTTCGAGATCGTTCGACAGAACTCTTTGTACACTGAACTGTGTTCTTCATTTTGGGCACAAGGTTGGTCTGTTATTCCTATACTCTCCAGTTCCCAAAAACTGAAAAGCGTTGATTCAGTTTGGTTGTTTTCAAACGCTCTGATGTTCAGAACGCAGGTCGTCGTGGTGGCACTGCAGGTCAAGGAACTTTGGAGTGATATAGGACCATAAAAAGTCCAGCCAAAGATGGTATTGGTAGCTGTCATCTTTTCGTTGTTACAGCACTGTTGTACTTGATCTTTCGTGATCTTCCATAGCTTATCAGATCCGATAAGCGTGCTTATGCCAGGTACAGACGGCATCCCTGGGAACAATAGTTCGTCCGCGATGTGGCCTTTTTTTTCCTCGACACTACGAAGAAATTCGTAGTCTTTTGGCACTTGCGTAATGTCCTTGCAGATGAACGGTATCTCTACCGCCTCAAGAAGACACTCAGTCTTACCATACTGACTACGTAGTCGTACTTGTACGATTCGCAGTTGTTGAGTTAGGGCGTTTGGGTTCCCAAACGTATTCAACCGAAGACTTGTCTGCTTCAGCACCTTGAGATTAAGTTTGCGGGACATATCCTTGCGAATGAATGTCCGCTGGCTCCCGCCGTCGATGATGGCACGGAAATAGCAGCTATCGTCGTCTGTAACAGCCCATGCACGGAATGCTTGAAGAAGAACTTCGTTGTCCAGGCAAATATCTACCTTTTTGGCGCTGGTATTCTGCACGCTTGTAATCACGGTCTCTTCACCAGTAGCTTTTGAGCGCGGTTTCCAGTTGGGGTCACACATTGACGTGACAAGTCTTCCGGAGCAAGAAGAGCATGAGGCCTTTCCACGACAGTCCTTTGCTCGATGTCCCTTCTTAGTGCATCGAAAACATCGCATGTCACCGGATAGTCGCGTTTTCTTTTGCCCATGGGATAAAACGCAGGTCTCAGTTGAGTGCTTCGTTGATTTGCAGAAGAAGCAACCAGGTTCCTTGTTTGTCTGCAGCACTGCAGCTGTTGGCTTTCTGGATTGCCGAGCTTGATCTTTCTGATTGTGTCTGGACGCTAGGCTTGTCGTCTCAGTTAACCCGACTCTTTCTCTATTTTCCACCTCGGCCCGAAGGAAGCTCAGGATTCGTGAAAGCTCCCCATCAACAAGCGGAGCTGTTGGGATGGTGCTGGCCGAGATAGCGGAGCTGTGACTTGAAGCGTGTGCTGCTTCAGGTCTTTGCTGGACGGCTTCAGTCAACGTTGTTGGGTATGTGGAGCTAGTTCGTCGGTAGTAATCGACGACTACGTCTTTCGGTAGTGCTCTCAGTATAATGTCAGCCATCATCGTGGAATACGTGTCTGACCCAACCCCGAGAGCCTTCAGTCCGCGGATGTTTATCTGTAGGTGGTCGTACATTCGTCGTAGATTTCTGGTGTCGCTTGATGAACTGACGGAGGGCAACGTCCGCAGTTTTGCCAGATGGTCTTGTTTGATTCGTCGTCTGCTTCCGAATCGACCAGAAAGAATCTCTATCGCGTCATCGTAGCAGGCGTCAGTGGCCTGTAGCCCTGCGATCGCTGCAGCTGCTGGTCCGGTGACAAGAGTGCGCAGATAGTGAAACTTCTGGCAGCGCGGGACGCTCTCGTTATCATGGATAGCACTAGAGAACTGCACCCAGAAGCTCTGCCATCCACCAATGTCGCCGTTGAACGTCTGGAGACGTAGCTTGGGAAGCTTGACTCCCGTGGCTCTATTAGCTTGTGCTGTTTCTTGGTCGCTGTTGCTGACTGCGTCGACACCGATGGCGGAGGCGGCGGTTGTCTTTCCTTCTCCCGGAGGGTAGCTGCCCTACTACCCAGCGCGGCGATCATTCTCGTAGTCTCGTCATCGTACTCGACTAATGCAGTGTATTCTGCTACGAGGTCTCCATCGCTGATGTGGTCTTCGGTCTCGGTATTAATTTGACGCAGCTCGTTGTTGCTCGTAGTCAGTCGTTCGAGCAGCGATGTCAGAGTAGCCAGGTCTGCAGTTTCAAGAACTGCAGTAGCTTCGTTGATGAGCCGGGTGTTTTGCGAACGTCGAACGGTGCGCTTCGATTTCAGGCGTTCCATATGTACCTGTTCAAGATCCCACAGCAGTAGAGTGTAGTCGATCGGCAACGTTCGGAGTTCCGCTTACGCTGTTCGAGCCTCAGTCCCGGGTTTCGGCACCATGTACTTCCAGGCGAAATAATTCGTTCGAGGTTGTTGAATTGAGAAGAAATACACTCCTTTACTGATGGCATATTTACGTATGTACAGGCAACTGTGCAGGGGAAGCTTTTCCGAGGTCCTCGCGCATCAGTCCATTCTTTTCTTTTTGCCCGCAGTCCCACGAGCTATTTCGGCAATTCGCAACAGGGGGATCACGTGGTTTTCCCCCTTGCGTTCTCTCTTCAGAGACCCCAGCCGCTTTCTCCACGATTGTTGACTTTCGATTTTCGACTATCAGCATCGTCGGAAATCGCGGCGAGCGATCGACACAAGAGACGGTTCGCCACGGGGCTGACGGCGAAGGTAGAGGGGGACAGGTTTTTGTTGACTTTCGTGTATGTCCCAGAGCCGCTGTCGCCGTAGTTCCCGTAACCGCCACACGCGGCTGCGGATCGGCAAATAATGCGTTCCATTTTTTCTTCGAGATTTCGCGCCGGAGAGCAGTTTTTCCGAGCAGGGTGACGCGTTTTTGGTCACTTGTGATTGGATAAACAATATAAGAAAATACAAACTGCCAATTCATTCAGAATTAAAATGGTTGCACTACCCCCTTAAACGCTTTTCAGTTCCAGCAGTTCGAACAGTCCAGCGTTGTTCCGGCGTGTGTGGCGTATGCTCTCGCGCCCTTCGCTCCGCTCCCGCCACGCCCGTGTCGGCGTCAGCGCTTTTCTGGTCCGGGCAGCGAACTCTTCGGCCGTCACTCGACGAATCTCGGCGACTCCCGGCGGCGGCGGATCCGCCGCGGTGACCGCCGTCGCGAACGACGTGCCAGCACCCCGGGGGCCCTGAGGGGCCAAGGCGAGCCGCATCGCCCCAGTCACCCCGACGCGCGCCGTGAGGCCTTTGAGGAAGCGACGGGCCCTTACGCAACCGGGCACGGCCGCGGACGAAGCTCGCCGATGACACTTGGCGCTTGGGCGCGGGGGCGCCTGGCCGCTTCCTGCCCAGAGATCCGTCTCGCGGCGTCGTGCCCCCCACAGAGGGCCCGCTCCCTCGCGATGCCCCGTCGCGCGCGGACCGAGCTCGCCGCCGTGCCGACGGGGAAATAACGGGGCTGCGCCGGCCTGTGCCGTAACAGGCCGGACTTCTAGCAATGCGTCGGACGAGAGCCTACGAGACTTTTTCGTCCGGCTAATCTATGACTTTAAACTAAGGGGGTTGGAGCGCGACTCCTATCGACTGCTGCGTGAAACCTCCTGTACCTCACTGACCACTGTGTTCGAGTGCCCGCGCAAAAAGGGGACAACCATCAGTACTTGGCGGAGGAAGGGGTTGGATCAGACGTGCGCAAGGTTTCTGTGGTCAATACCTCGGAATTCTAGTGGAGGCGAGCGAATATTCCTGTGATAACCGGACGACTGGTGCCATAGACGTAGACTATGGGGGGGGGGGGGGGGGGGGGGGGGGGGGGGGGAGGGGCAACGGGGCTCGTGCCCCCCCCCCCCCCCCCGAGCCCGGGTCATGATTCTTACCGAGACGCTGTTTACGTGCCATGTAACGAGCTTCTAGTAGCGGCATGTAAACAAAATAACGCCCACGTTGCCTTTATTGACAAAATACATGGGAAGTGGAATTCCAGCGTGTTTTCGTTAGCTTCAATCTCCAGTTCTGGCGAAAAAATAACGCGCAGCAACCCCCTTCCCCCCCTCTCCGAGAGAACTCAGCCTGCCCCCCCCCCCCCCTCCCCCCCGGGAAAATGGAAAGTCTACGCCGCTGACTGGTACTGTACTGCGTCTCACAAACATTTGTAGTGAAGCCAGAGGCATGGGCACGAGCGCGTGGCTTTCGAAATTGCCTGTTACACACGAATCGTTGTACACAGTTCTTGTCCAGACATTTATGAGATGGAGCTCGGAACTCAGCAGCCGCCATCAAGTCCGTGTCCACGAGCGCATCCACTGCGCATGGTCTCCGAGCTCCCAGAAAGACGATGCGGTGACTACTAAGGCTCGAATACTTCCTTCAAACTAGACCAGCCTACCATCCGATCATAGTCGAGTGAAGTGAACTCTCCAAGACGGTGGCCATCACTTTTGGTCTATTCGATTTTATCCGAATGCCCCTTCGGTTGCTAAAGGCCCCTCGAATATTCAAACATTTCGCGTGCAGACATCACTCGAGGGCGTCCATCCACCCGCGACTACGTAGATTATCAAAATACCGTACAGACTAATACTGGAAACTTCGGTTTAAAATGGGAGACGGAATTAGAAAGCGATCCTGGCGGCATGGAGTGGACAACTTAGTCTATGAAATATTCCCTTTTTTTGATGGTGCATAGGGAGTATAAGCTTGTGATATTGGACCTCTTGGTATTTTGACGTCAATATGCAGTGTGTTGTATAGACCAGTCAGATTTTGTACAATCTAAATAATTATTAACCTTTTCTGAGCTTGTTGATTTGTTTTATTCCTACCGAAACATGCCTTATTCGATGCCCTTGGCTCCAAGTGACCATAATTGGCGATAGGCATCAATTTTTTATGAGACCGACTTGAAATGACTCTAAGTGACTAGAAGTGATTATTATTGATAATTATATTAACCATGTTGAAATAACCTGAGACGTTGTCCCGTCTATTTTCTGTCCCTTCTACGCTTTGATGCTTCTTCTCTACCCGTCTCAGGTTATTTCAACATGGTTAATATTCACCAGGTGGCCTGCACCCTTACGATTTTTTCTATCATAATTATATCATTTTTTGTTTGCTTACGCCAACGTCACTAAAACACTCAGTTGGAAAACTGCCATAAAGACTGCTCTCAAAAAGTGGCCCCGATCTGTCCTCGAGAACCGAGCTAATGGCGAACACAGCGCCGCCATTTCTCCCGCAGCGACCACTCGAACAACTGCACGCGACGTCTATTTTGGCATTAATCGGCCATTTTGGCGCCGAAACAGATATAGTGGAAAAAGTTACAGGGGTGCCACCCCCGTCTCCCCAGCGGACGCGCCGCGACTTGCGACCGAAGTTAAAATGCACCTAGGTCGGGACGCGCTACCTGAAAGCACCGCTGAGGCGTGGTTGTATAAAAACAATATTAATTGTGCCGCAAAACCCTGCAAACTAAAGGTTTTAAAAACATCACGCGCCCATCATATTGTACTAAACTCCAACAAATTTCATACAAAAAGTGTCTTTTCCGTTTGTTTTTATGCAAAAACATGCTTTCTGAAAGCTCAAGCTGACCACAGTACAGACAACTGATAAAGAGTGGCGCTGTTGTCGTATTTAGCTCGGTCTCGGTGGACGCCAGCGGCCCAAGTTTCGACGATGAGTTTCCCAACTGAGTGTTTCAGTAACGTTGGCTTCAAGTAGCTTTTGCTGGCTATTAGCATATTCTTTGACCAGATTGACCCTAAATGGCTGCCAATGGCTATTGATGAGAGAACTTACAATTATCTATTCGGCGTTGGTGGATGCATATGGCTTCAACTGGCTATTATTGGCTATCAGCCTCCACTTTTATATATATTTGAGAGATATGGCTACAAATATTAATAATGAGTAATAAAGACTTTGAGCTATTTCTGTTTATAAACTGGAATGACTTCAGGGGGCTATTAATATGTTTCTATTAATTATAAGCCATACTCATTTTAATATTTAGAAAATGGAATGGCGTCAAGTGGATAATGTTGGCTATTTGTATTTATTTTGACCAGATTGAATTGAAGTGGCTGCTGATGGATATTGATGAGATCATTAATCAATTATGTGCTATTTCGGTGCTTAAAAATGATTATGGCTTCAAGCGGCTATTATTGGCTTTTGCATAAAATTTTAGATAAATTTGATCGAAATGGGCTATACATGCCTATTAGTGACTAGTGTTGATAGTTATGGGCGTTTTTGTGTTTACTAACTAGAATTACTTTAAGTGGCTATCGTTGGCTGTCAGCATCTATTTCTGACCAGATTGGCTTCAAATGGATAGCAATGGCTATTAGTGAGTATAATTTACAGTTATGTGCTATTTCAGCGTATATAGGTGAAAAGGGCCACAAGTGCCTATTACTGGTTATAAACATTTATTTTTATCGCAATGGCTTGATTTGGCTACAAATGGCTAGTAGTGACTAGTATTGATAGTTATGAGTGATTTTTGTGCTTACCAACTGGAATGGCTTTAAGTGGCTATTGTT